TTTCTTCCTATCAAAATTATTTTTAAAAAATATTTAATTTCTATTTATGAGTTTAAGACCTAGGCTTGATCACTTGTTGCTGTCCTCCTGCAGTGGGTGGAGTAAAACGAAGTTTTTAAGGTGGAGCCGAAGGCAGGGAGAGTGCAGTGTTTTTGTAAGAATGAGTTAAGGCTCAGCTACCCCCCTCAACACCACTCCGGAGGGACTTTCATCCTCACCACCTCTAAGCGGAGGACCAGCGAGGGGCAGGGACCCGGCAGAGGCCAATGCCAATACACGCTAGACATGAAGGAAGAAACGTAAAACTCTGTTCGACCCTCACTCTCTAAGAAAGGAACTAGTGCTACACAGCTGAAGGGTCAGACATTTTTTATTCAACTCAATGTCAACATACTGAAGCTGAGAGAGACCATGACCGGAGTTTTAGATCTGCTTGTGGCTCCAGGCAACACTAGGGCTCAACAGAACAGAGCCGGGGTACTGTCCCTGAGGCTTCAGAAGCTTCTGGGCTACACTTTACAAACTGTGGTGTGTGGTGTGTGTGTGTGGTGTGTGTGGTGTGTGTGGTGTGGTGTGTGGTGTGTGTGGTGCGGTGTGGTATCTAGTAGGAAAAGGGATTTCTGTGCCGGACAAGCCTGGGTTCTGTCAACTCTCCAAAGGCAGCAATACAACCTTGTGCTTTCTTTCCAGAAGAGTATAAGCTGGCTTAACGTAAGGACCATAGTATCAATAAGTATAAGCTGGCTTAACGTAAGGACCATAGTATCAATAAGTGTAAGCCAGCTTAACGTAATGACCACAGTATCAGAGGGATATGGAGAAGCACCTGAAGTCAGAAACTGCCGAGAAGGCATCCTAAATACGAGGAGAGAACCGAGGGTCCGGCCACAGAGCCAGTGCTCTCTGCACAGGAGACGCTGCAGAGCGCTGTGTGGAGAGCAGGCAGCTCCTGGGGGATGGGAGGGCCTCTCAGCTCCCCGGACCCAGGAGACCGACACCCAGCTCCGCTCCACATGCAGAGAGGGAGCAGGCGACTCAAAGTGAGACACCAGGGGTGATCCCAGGGATGCATTCATTCCTTCTACGGCTGCTTTCACGTGTCAGGCTAACACACTAAGTGACTCAACATATACAGAGAAGCAAGCATGGAGGCAGGCAGCCGTGCAAGCCAGAGCCCACGCTGGTGAGGAGACAGGAGCGGGTGGCGGTGTTAGAACAGAAGGTTAAAGGGCAGAGCTTTCAATGGGGTTACTTATGAGCACTGGAAAGAGGACCTCGCAGTACCCGGCCTCTCTCCAGGTACGGCTCCTAGATATGACAGGAGGACTGCCTACCAAAAGAACAAGGGGGCATGTTTCAACTGGAGAGACTTGAGGAGAGGAAGAGAAAGCACATTTTAATGTTTAATGAGGAATGATAAAAAATTTAAATCACCTGGACAGGAGACAAAAGTACACTTGAATACTCCCATGTTGTAAGCTGACCCAAGAAACAGCAAGATTACTCACAGTACTTATTCCCCTGAAGTCAATGAGAATGGGCTGTTGAAGAAAACCTAGTTAACAGAGAGCATAAAATGGATTTCTTACGCTGGGACTGTGAAACCACTTTAGCGCGACTGCGGCCTCGATTATCAGAAGGTATAGAGGCGACATTGGTGGTACTCCCGGAGTTCTGTCTTCTCGTACGAATCCGGCCTGGAGAATACAGCAAAAACAGTGTTTCCATAGGTTTTCAGTCAGTGCAACCTACACAAGCAAACAACCACACATGACCAAGGGCACCGACTGGGCCACCGACGGGGAGCAGGTCTTCCCCACCCGGGGTCCTGACATGTTTTCCTAGCAGCACACACAAGCCTATGGTCTGTACACACAACTTCTAAAAATACGTAAAGGACCCTGGCTGGGTTGCTCGGTTGGTTAGAGTATTGCCTGATACGCCAAGGTTGTGGGTTTGATCCCTGGTGGGGGCACATACAAGACATACCCAATGAATGCATCAATAAGTGGAACAACAATGTCTGTCTCTCAAATCAATTTTTTAAAAAAGTTAGGAACTCCTGAGAGTGAGTCATGAACCTATCAGGTACCTCTGTTTCAATTATTTTAGCATATTATATTTTCAGATGAGGAGGTGATATTTATTGGAGAATTTTTTTATCAAAAAATTTTCAGTTAAACTATTTTTTCTTGGCTAGAAATCTGTCAAATGTCCAGAATCAGAAAATATTAGCTGTTGTCTTAAGAAAAATACAATAGAAAAAAGGAACAAATGCAAAATATTCAGCAATCAACAAAAACTACAACACCCTGGGGAATAAATGTGTTTTGATATGTAGCATTAAACTTCTAATTTAAAGCATGTATGCCCATAAATTTCTAGGTTGCAAATGATTAAAATTAGCACCTGAAAGTAATACAAACAAATATTGCATTTATTTAATTTACAAATTAAATTAAACTGTAATTTAAAAATAATTTTTAAGAAAGAATAAATCTTAGGAGTACCTAGGTCCTAGAAAAACAATGACCTAAAAATAATATAATGTTGTAATCCAGCTGACATGACTCAATGGCTGAGTGCTGACCTATGGAATCAGGTCACAGCATATGCCAGGTTTGCGGTTTGATCCCCAGTAGGGGGCATGTGGGAGGCAGCCGATCAATGATTCTGTCTCATCATTGATGTTTCTATCTCTCTCTCTCTCTCCCTTCCACTCTGAAATCAATAAAAATATATTTTAAAAAATAATTTATACTTCATCATCTGAGAAAACCTGCAGAAAAGTACACAGAAAAACAAATCATAAGGCTTGAAAAAGTTTCAAAAAAGGGAGGTAAGGAGCAATAAAAGAAAGCACTGCATTAAAAAAATTAAAACTAAAATGACTTCATAGCAGTTTAAGGAAAGACTTACACGAATTCTAGGACCTACAGTAAAATTAAGAGCTATACCATATATTATACTAAGAGTGTACATGTGTGAACCCAGTTTACAGATGAGGGAACAGAGAAATGGGGAATAATTAATTTGTCCAAGATCACACTGTTAGTTTGGATACCTGTGCCTGCCTGCCTTGCTGGCCTATGAGTGAGGAGTTTTTACTTTCCCATGGAAATCACCGAGCTAAATCAAGGCAGTCACCAAGGCAACATCAACATGAAAACGACGGAATTTAATTTTTTACTTTATCATAAAAGATTTAAGTCACAGATTTTTTAAATAAACAGCCATACCCATTCAACTTATAAACAGAAATCTTCTTTGCTTATGTCCCTATATCCTCTACATTTGGTAATAGGATCCTAAATCCAGTGTTCGCCATTCTCTTGTATTTCTTTATCCTTTCAATATTTTCTTCTCAATAATATTTTCAATAATATTTTCTCAGTTGCATAACTGAAAAATTATATGGCATTATTTTTTATATTTTAAATAGTTTTAATTATACCATAGGGTATATATTTTCCCAAAACTTAGTGTTTTGCTCAATATTTTTTTGGTGAGGTCACTTATGGAACTGATTTTTCTGTAGAAGGTAAAGGAGAGATCCATTTCATTTTTTCCATATGACTAACCTACGTCCAAATCAATTTACTCAACCCCTTTCTTACTGATCTACAAAGCCATCTCCAACATCTACCAATACTTACAGTATATGCAGATGTGTCTGTTCCTCAGCTGTCCATTCTGTCCCAACAGTCCATGTGTCCAAAGCACGCAAGATCACCACGTTGTGATGAGCTTTTAACGAAAGCCTTGCTCATTGGTAGGGGAAGTAAACCCGCTTTTCCCTAAGGCCCTCTGCTCTCCTCATTATGCATATGAAGATACAATGAGAAGGCCTAGCCCTGGCCGGGTGGCTCTGCTAGTTGGAGCGTCATCCCATACACCAAAAAGCTGTGGGTTTGACCCCCCAGTTAGAGTGCATACGGGAAACAACCAATAGCTATTTCTCTCTCACATCCATGTTTTCTCTGCCTCTCTCCCTGCCTCTCTCTCTAAAATCAACAAAAACACACCTTTAGGTGAGAAAAAAAAAGCAAACTATTGAAATATTGATTGGCATTATGTGGCATTTTGGGTTAATTTGGGGGCGGGAGGAAAGGACAGCTTTCTGACAATGATCTTCCCACTCACTAATGTTTTCTGAATTTCACTCTCTTCAATATCTTTCAATAAAGTTTTATATTTTCCCCAAAATATCTTACTAAATTTTTATAGACTTATTAAAAGGTGCCTAAAGTTATTATACTTAAACTTGTTGACAAATAAGTTCATAATTATTATTTATATTTGGTCTTAAACAGGAACCTTGCTAAACTCTTATTAATTCTATTAATTTACACGATTATCTGGGGCTATCTAAATAGAATGCCATCTACAATAAGACTTCAGGTTTTTCGCTTCAAACAACTGCCCTTTCGTTTCTCTGCTCTTACCCTGCTGTCCTGGACATGGGCTGCAACACAAGAAAAGCATGGCAGCGGGCTCCATCGCCTCGAGCCACATTTAAAAAAGAGAATAATTCTGAAATTTCACAAAAAGTTTGATATTTCAACAGGTTGAAGAAAACCACTTCTATTCCTAATTGCTAAGGATTGCTGTCAAAAACGTGTGTTGAATTTTCAATGCTTTGCCTGCATCTTCTGAGAATAAGAGGATCCTTCTCCGAAGTGTGATGAGGGCATCAGTGTTTATAAAACCTGGGCTAAACAGCACGTCAAGATCTAGACTGCAGTTGAATTCTTCCAGCATGGATCTGTTTGCTTCTGCTAGTTCTATGGACACCAGCAATCCACAGCTACTTTAAAATGATTATCTATTTGGGTTTTCACACCACAAAGGCAGCTGTAAATTCTGAAGGGAGTCCTCTATCCTCGTATGAAGGTTAAGAATGGCAAAATTCCCTCTCATCTGCTCCAGTTTAACAGTTAACTTCTTGTTTATCACTGACGAGGTAGGTCTTGGGTGGGTTTCGGGCTGCTTCTTGTCCTCCATATCCTCATCAGTCATCACAGCAAATGCCCAGGCCTCCATATTCCCCAAGGTACGGCCAGCTTTGCCCCTTACCTCCTGCGGTTCCTGCTTTTGCTTTGGAGATGTGTGACTTCCCCTGCCTTTATTCCGATTAGTGATGTGTTCTCAACCGGCAGGATCAATCACACTAATAAATTCTGCAGACTGCAAGTTACTTATTTCTTTTAAACACTTAAATACAGCTACTTTGTATTATATAAAAGAGCCTTACAAGTACAAGGGTATGCTTTTCTTTCTCTCTGCTACCTCTAACTCATTACAGATGTAAATATTAGAGGCAGAAATAGAATACATTGGGGACCAGCTACAATTATAAGAAATATTAATCATGCTCTGTTAACCATGATGGTTCTGTTCTGATTAGAGAAAGCACATTCTACACTGAGAGTTGTACCCCCTGGGATATGGGAGCTAACATCAGAATATAGTTTGTCATCCTCCCAAGAATTGCCCTATCATTATGAAAAGATTTACAACCTCGTGACACCTAGTCCTGGAGGCACCTGCTCTTCACAAGCCCCTTCCCCTATTACCTGTAATCTGGTTCCAG